TATTCTTTTAAGGAATCATCTTCATTTTCAAGACTACTCACAAATTTGCAATATATTTTTTTAACAAATTAGAAAGAACGTTTTTTCTCGTTCTTATTTTGTAACATACCCTTATTTTAAGTGCGTTTTACAATCAACACGAGTATTTTTCTATCCAAAACATATCAACGGAACAACCAACCAATAACGTTACTTCCACCTTCCACGGAACACACTGTACATTAATCGACCGCATAAAATAATCGAAACAGTTGGCACATGATTAATATATCAACGGGTACTGTTATCTCTGGTAGTAATCTCTTACAATATCCATCTTAATAATTAAACGATGAAATGAAATTAACAGAGAATTCAGGTGGGTAGCAACGAACGATCTTGTGGACTCGCTTGTTATGCTATCATAGTTATTGCATTGTTAGCACATAACTAGACTGCAGGTTATACCGAACCCAACTTTATGACCTATAGAACGATTCTATCGCGGCTTGCGCTATAAAACATCACGTATTTCTAACATTAAAATTACAGGACGCACTATCAGGTGGTCCGAATGTCATTAAAATTATGACCGTTAAATTTTATTACTGGATTAACTTGCAGTCTTGGGCATTTACAGTTTCGTTTACTGGCATGCAATTTTCTAATAAATCCAGCGCAAAAGTTCAGGCTTCTGCAACAGATCCTAGTAAACAAAGCAGTTAATACACCGAATTACTTCCTATACATTCTGGTGTTCCTCAAGGTAGCGTCCTTAGGCCGATATTGTATAGCATTAAGGAGAAATCTTTGTTTTAGTATTTTTATTAAACAGCTATGAGTTTTTTCGGATGCCGTTCGGTTTAAGAAATGCTTCACAAACCCTTCGAAGATTTATTAATGAAGTATTTTCAGGTTTAAATTTGGCATTTGTCTATACTGGTGTATTTTTAATTTCAATCAAAATTAATAAAGGACAACATTTACAACAATTGTTTGCGAGATTAAACATTTTTGGTTCTAAGAATTCGACTACGACTTATCCATAAATGATGGTCCCGTAAACCAAATCCACTTTAATTTTTCTTTTTATCCGAAAAGCAAAGCGCATGCCTCTGCATGATGACGAATCTACCACAATCGGAGACTATTTCGTTATACATGGACTATAGTCCCAGTAATTAAAGAAAATTGCTGAAATTGACGAAGTTGTAAATCTGGCGTACAATTTTTAATAACAGCGAAAACTTTCGGGCCACAGATAAAAACAAGTTAATTCCTTATACCTCCTTTATTATTATAATGCCTTTGCAAGGAATAATTAACGTGAATAGAAAATGACTTATTTTTTTATACGTATTCGAAAGTACCTCGACTTATCGATGGTCTCAAGCACGTGCACTTTGTCCCCAATTTGCCTTTCCTGTCACTTTCATACTCAATAAATTTCATTAAAATATTAAGTCCCCTCTCGGAATAATGATGCAGCCACAATTTTTATCGGTAATCCAGGTGTAAGTTATTAAAAATTAATTCAAGCCATTCTAAGTAATCGTTTCAATTAAGCAACCTCCAAATATATCAATTTAATGAGGTCATGTGGTATAATATACAAACTCGTACTTAGGAAGTGTTAAAGACGCCATATTTAAACACATCGGTGGGTTTAAAGTTGGCTGAACACATTGAAGGGCACCGTTGATGTGTTGATTACATCACGAAGTGTTACAGAGTGATTATAAACCCACACAGCGAAACAGGTGATGTGAGAGAACTGCACTCATCCAATACGAGCCTACAACTAACCCGAGACAAGACCGGTTCATAGAATGGCATAAGGTTGGTCAGTTTAGCTGCACTGCAACGCGATTCGTAAAAAATTTCCTTTCACGCGAACTAAAATGCCAAATCTGTGAAGTAACTACTGCATTTTCCATATTTAAACCTTATTGAGAATATATAACTTTTGAATTGAGTTTTCTAACGACAACATAAACAAAAACATAAATGCAAGGCAAGTTATTCAAGTGTTACGAGTGAAAAAAACTATTTTAGACAAGTTACATTTTTTCTACTACCGAACAATGTGTTAAAAAAATAAAATTACAAACATCCATTTTACGCGCTAATGCGTAAAGTGGATGTTAGTTTTTATTTTATTATTATTATTAACTAAGCAGTATTTGGGTCAAACGTCGTGTCCTAACAGGGTGTCCGTTTTTCGAGCAGCGCCAATGGGATCTCGTTTATTTTAAGAGATACAAGGTCAGTCAAATTAGAACAAAGTTACAGAATCTGATGACGAATAAATATGTTAAGAGAGATTTCACATGTCTTTATTCGTTTTGAAATCATCCACGAAAGACGCAAAACTCACTCTTGTAAATAATTCTGCTTGTGTTCAAATGTATAATGATTAATTTTAAGTGAGTCGATATGCAGGGTGGCCCGGTACTTGATACAAAAAAGTCGAGTACAAATAGCAAGGTTGGCAAATATCATGATATTTATATAAATATCAAATATCGAATATATATCTTGATATATATCCGATATATATATATAAAGTCTTGATTTTTATTTTTTTTAATAATTAGTTAATTAATATAATTAATTAAAAAATAAATATAAATTCTGAAACTAGTAAAAAATATTTGCATGAATAAAGTACTACGAAAACTAACCAATTTACACCAAGTCAACATAAATTTCATAAATATTAAAACAAATACAAACACACAGGAATAAATATCGTGATAGATATCAATGATATATATCGGATATACATCATTGATATATATCATGCCAACCTTGACAAATAGATGAGGTCAAAATAATATCAGTTCTTCATATAAATTTTTTTATAAGGGCCTTCGTTCACAAGTTACGGGCCCTCAAAAGTGAAAATTAAAAAGTTATTTTAATTATTATTACCTTCAGCATGCTGCAAATTTGGTGATCGATAATACATGCGTACAGCTTGTTTTTGATATTATACGTGAAACTTCATTATGCCCAGAACGCCAGGGATGGACTATGCCCAATGGTTAACCACCCAGAATTTTTGCATAGAATACCCTCTTGGTTCAAGTCTGTAAAATTAACAGTTTAGGAAATATTTGTGATTTTATGTGACAGTTCGCATCGAGCGGCGCCTCCATCATTTTAATTTTTATTTTTAATTGGACATTACTATGTTAGAACAGTACATATTTTTAAAATAAGAGCATAGAAAATCTAACTGTCTGCTAATGTAATTTTCACTAACAAAATTTGACAGATACACCTTACACATAACACAAAATAGAAAAACAAAACAAGAATTATCTAGGCTCGATGTGTACTGTGGCATAAAATCATATTTCCTAAACGGTTAATTTTACCGAGTTGAACCAAGAGGGTATTATCGTTGGAAAATTCTTCAGGGAACTTATTTTTGATACAGGCAGATTGCGATCGTCATCTCTGTAAAAATTCTGGGTTGTTAACCATTGGGCATAGTCCGTCCCTGGCGTTCTGGGCATAATGAAGTTTCACTTACAACATCAAAAACAAGCTGTACGCATGTGTTATCGATCACCAAATTTGCATCATGCTGAAATTAACGGTTTAGAGACTGTAATTAAAATAACTTTTTAATTCACATTTGTGGGCCCGTAACTTATTAACGAAGGCTCTTATGAAAAAAATTTATATGAAGAACTGATATTATTTTGACCTCGCCTATCTATGTACTCGACTTTTTTGTATCAAGTATCGGGGCACCCTGTATACAGGGGGACACTGACAAATGGTCTAATAAACTACAATCATCAAAGAAACACATAAATAACTAATATTTTTTTAACAATTAACATTTATATTATTTATTTTCTTAAGACAGAATGTAAATTACAATTACTAAACCGGAAATTTCTCAGCGACAACTATTTTTAGGTCGAAATCTGATATTTTTGGAAACGTTGAAGCTTTCTTTATTTTTTTCTCAATTTGGTTCATTTGAATTAGATCGTTTTTTTGTCTCCCGTTCATTTAGACTATTTAAGACTACAAAGTCAATTAACTGGTTTTCAATATACAGAGTGTTAATGTTTATACAGGATATGACATTTATTCAATTATCTCCGAAGGTATTTGGTCTAGATTGATGAAACTTGGGTTAACAATTTATCTAATTAAAGACTTCGAATATCCGATACCTGTAATTACTACTTTTCTATTTGAAATTAATCACGCTTAAACCAGAAGTAAGATCGCAATTTGTTGTCATGTTTAATTTCGGAGAAATTTGATATTTTCATGATGCCATTTGTTAAAAAAAAAACATCAAGTAGCACCGAAATAGCACCATTTAGACCCAATATTTGCTTATCAAAGAAGGCCTTTTAAATTAATTTTATTTGCCACACTTTTTGTTTGTATTATTCATTTTACCAGCTATATTACAGAAACTAAGAAACCCTAAACAACAGACCGCACATTTTATTTATTTTTCTTCATAAAGCCGATAAAGTGCAATTATGAAGGATTTTTGGAAACAATAAACATACCTAACGACTTTAATTTATATGGCATATAAATAATAATAACTTACTTTCGACTGGCGAATATAAAACAAATACACCGAGCTTCGTTATGAATGGGACATAGATTAATAGGTTTTCTGGGATCGAATATTTTGATTAAGCCAAACATGCCTTCGTCAAATTGTGCAACTTTTCAATCTACAGGGTGTCAAAATGAAATCAACTAAAAATGATAATATTTCAGTAACGATTATCAGAAACCACGTCCGTTTTGGCAAAATATTCAAAAAATAAAAGTTTAGACAATAAATAAAGCATTTTATCCGTTTTCGAAACAAAGGCGATTATTTCATAAGAGTTATCCCATTCTTCAGGAAGCACCCTGCACAAGCCGACATGTGAAAAATTAAATTAATTTCTATTGTGGCTTCGACTAGCGACGACTTCCACCGAGTTTAGATAAAGAACATTTTCTTAGAATGTACAAATACTTACTGCTGACTCCGACAGGCATGGTTGTTGTTACAGTAATCGTGATCCGTTTGTTAATTGTTAAATTACAGCTTTGTCCTGGGGTGTCCGACGTGGTTTCCTTTCATTTTCTGCAACAAAAGAAAGATGAACGTAACATACTGCAGCACAACGAAGACAGACCATTATAACCATAACTGTCCGCAGTACCACAGCCCGTTATGCCAAATTTGATTTAATTAAAAATCGAAGCATGCATACAAAATGTAAATTACTTTTCTACAAGCTTCAAAAGCAAATGAGGGGAATGACTAACATCCACAGTACACAAATAATAAATACCTAACTTATAGATTCGTAATACACACAGTGACAAGTTTAAAAAACAAAAGATTGGCGTTAACGGTTCCTAAAATACTGTAATCGGGCCCTATTTTAATTTATTTTCTAGGCAACTACTTTTACAATAGACAATTGTCACTTTTTCCAAATATCAGCTGAAATTGTAACGAAATTCGGAGGAAGGTGGCAGTATTTGTGAATATCGAATTCGAGCCCCTCTCTCTCTCTCTAATAAAGTGAAATGATTTAAACCTTAGGGTGCGTGTAGAAAGTTCATAACCAAATCACAGCATAGTAATAAAAAAACCGGAATATATAAAAATGTTTACCAACAACAGTAAAAAAAAATCGGTGGATATAATATAAATACAAGAATCAAAATAATGTAATCGTAAACATGGCAACAATATTTTTTAACATGATTCTTTTTCTTTATTACATGAGAGACGTGAGTCAACTCTGAACAGTCTGAACCTGTTGTGGGGTAAGTCTTGTTTTCATCGTTTCGTCCGAATGAATTGTCTGCGCGATTTACCTCTTCAATTAATATGAAATTATCGAGTTCCATCTGATAAAATATATTTAAAATTTCGTCCGTACCGAGATTACGTAAAATAAATCGGCGAGCGGTTCAACCTGTTCCCAGTTATTTATTTATGCAATATCAGCTGATATATGAATAGATAATAAGTGACGAGGCGGAGCAGACATATTTTGGATTTTTATTTGTGACGACCGACTACACGGCGTGGTATCGCATAGCAGAAATGCCAACAACGTTTGTATACACGCACCGACCTAACCGTACCAACTGTAGTTCGCTGAAATTTTAAATTTGAAAATATCATGAGGTAGGTGCGTTCTGGAATCTACTTCCGCGTCGCGTATACCCAAATCAATCTCCGTGCAAGAGATACAAAGGTGAATTCACAATTACACTGAGAAAAAGGACTTGCTCAAACATAACTTTTTCCCTCAAAACTGAAACTGTCGCTAAAATCTGCAAATTACATCTTTTAAAATACAAAGGGACAAAAATAAGGCATCTAGTGGCTGTCGGATTACCTTGGCAGCCATTCGTATTTTTTCACCAATGTTTTTAATTCCTGAGCGACTGAAACTGACTCTTCACTCTAAGAAATCAATGCAAATAGCTCATTGAAGAAACCACAAAGAAAATTTCTGCTTCTGCTTTTAAAAACTATTATTTTGGCACATACATAGACGTTTGATGGGAATTAAGTGGTTTCGGGATAAGTCACGGCGAATATTCGTTTGAATGCGATTTAACACACTGAAGCATGTTAACTTTCTACACATATACAGAAATGTGATCGCGATGCATTCGCTAATAACGTATATTTTGATGTACCAACCGGTACGACTATAAATTCGTCGAAAACATGGCGCGTAATATGTAAAATAGAAGCGCTACGGAACACGTAGAAAATTATCTTACTCGTTAAACGCACGTATAATTGTAGGCAATTTATTTTTAGAAACGGCGATAAATAAAAATTAATGTCATCGTCAACAGGTAGTACGGCTAAATTATATTTTTCTTTTCGTAAAAGTCAATTTTAAACAATTTCTTTTTATGACGATATTAAAATAATGATTATTGATTAAAATCTGAGGTCGAGGAAGTTATGGCTGAAAAGTGTCGAGTAAAATCAGCTAAGATGCGAGTCTGTACCTAACCCACAACCATCAAACTTGTGAAAGCGTGTTCGTGAATAAAACACTAGTAACAAAAATCAAAAATTGCTTCTAAGCATAAAGCGTATACAGCAATTTATACTGTTTTATTTATCATGAAAAATTGTCACGGTACGGGATCGAAAAATTTAAATTCGAAGTACAAAATATATCCTTGGCGAGCAATTTACATTTAAAATATTTCCGAAGGACAAAGCCCGGACAACTTCTGAATATATAAACTGGAGATTCAACTTTATTTGCATTACATCACAATTTATAATTCAGACGGCGGACGGATGTGTGGATTTTTTAAATTAAACTTTAATCTGACTACATAATTTTTCCTGCAACAGTCATTTTCACGGAGGAAGGTGATTCAACAGACGAAAAACACATAAAATTACGGATTGAATCTGAAACATATTTCTCACCTTGAAACTTGATTAAATTTTTACTTAACTTTCTATTCTTATTTTCGAACTATTTTGCAGTGTTTATCAAAATTAATAAGATTTTTTACATGAAATAAAACATGCTTACAAACTAACAAAAGAAAAACGCTAATTTATGCATCCCTATTAGAAATCTTAACATGTATATGTCATCGATGCCTTCAATCAAGCCTTAATGTGTTGTAGAATGGCCTGAGTTCCTATCACGTTCGAGATGTTTTTTTATTTGTTGATGTGTCACATGTGAATTTTATCTGTGAATCTATAAAATTTATGATATTGATGATGTCCCACAAAGTGGGAAGCTCGTCTGTAATAAATAGCACGGAGTCGTCGATTTGGAATAGCAACAATGAGTTTTCAGTTTCAAAAATACCACATAAATTTTAATAAAATAACAAAAGAAGAAAAGGTGTGGCAGAAAATTAACTGGCAAAAAATCCTAATCAACCGATTTCGAGAAAATAAGCATAACAAATAAAATACGACATGAAAATAAAGATAACAATAACAAGATTTGTAGAGTTGTTTACAGAAATAAGTTTTAAATATTCTTTAATGAGTGAAATAAGAAATTTGGTAGTAGCGCTAAATATTAAATCGACATTTTCCCGTACAGATTGATGATGACAGTGAGAGTCACAAATGACATTTTATTTTTGCTTATTTCGTTGTTTGTTCAGTTTTATGCATGTGACGATAATACTAATATTGTAGAATCCAATGTTTAGTCACCTTTATTTGCATTTTAAATTAGCGGATTGCTGAAACACTCGATTTGACACGAATTGGAATTTTTCAGCAGCACTGTTGAATACCAAGATTTGTCGCTAATTCATGGAGAGGCCAATGTAATTACAAGGAACATGAAAATAATCTCAACCAATTTTTTTGTGCAACCAATAGAAACACCGTACAGTTTAATTTAGTAAATCATAAACCAAGAAAACGCGCGAAAAATATTGGAAAAATTAGTCTTTGTCAAAGGTGGATAATAGGACAACAAGAATACAGGATATTTTTTTCAACATATTCAATGTTGGGACCTAGATTTTTTAAAATTTTTTGAATGCTATCTAATTTTAATAAATCATACATAAAAATGTGTCATCAAACTAAATAAATTAAACTTTATAGCATTACACGGTATAATTATGTTCTAACAAAGTATAACATAATTGACTGGCGCCATTTTTTTACCTGTCTTGGAGCAAGAGACCGAGTTACCGTTACCTTCTTCTGTATAGAAACTTCCGTTCAAAAGTAGGTATATTATTTTTCAATTTTTTTTTGTTAATATTTTTTGTGTGATATCAGAAATTAGTTTACGTTGTTTATTTTGTAACTTAATTACGAGTAGTAAACAACTCCTGTAAAAAAGTTTACAATGTTCTACTTTTCCTTTAGAAAATTTGTCCTCGAACAAACATTTTGAATTTTGCTATTATTGTTGTTAGAATTAGCATAAAATAATCGTAAAAGTGTCCTTGTCTCGCGTGTATTTTTTTAATGTGATATAAATACGTCGCAAGAAACATTTGAACGTCGCTAATGTTTTCAAAAATACGTTATTTTTGTGGCAAACCAGCGCAAGTTGCTATCTTTGCATCAGTTTTATTATGTAACTGAGGTTTTTCATATTTCTTGGATGGCTCCCAAACTATAAGAAACAAACCTTAACAAAATTGAAAAGAAATTATACTTTTCTGTGTCATGTCAAATTTAACTTAGGTTTCCATTTGGAAAATCTAGTTATCCATGATCCAAAATATGAAACTACTGATTACTATTTTTTATTAAAAAATTTAATACGCAGGGTGCGTTATTTAAAAAAAAATAGGTTAAGGTCCCAGAAAATAAAATGTGAATAAACTAATTTGTTTAATTTTTTTATTTTTGTACTAGTATTCGATTAAAAATCACACCCTTAATGTATTTTCCACAGCTTTTTGTTTGTGACAACCTGTATCCCACAATCGTTGCAGGTATTACACGACATAACTTTTAGTTTCATATTAATTACTAAAAATGCCAAACCAGAACGACAAGTCGCGGTAATGTAAAAGTTTTGTAATTTTCTATCGGAGATAAATTGCCAATTACGTCGGAAACAAAACGACCAAGTTTGCTCTGAAAATATATTTTAATTAACATGGCTTAATATTAATTAAACCTGTTACAATATATTAGAAGAAATTTAATTAATGCATTATTATCATAATTGCAGCTTTTTGTAGTTTTTAGCGTGTTGCATTTAAAATTGTTTTATTAAGGTGCTAAATGACGCGGAGAAGAATGTACATACGAATGCAAGGCAAACAACAGTCCAAAAGTCACTTTTTCACATGTACTTTACTTTAATTCAAACAAATTTAAAAAATTTCTAATGAAAATAGCTTTGGGCATTTTGTTTTGTACATAAGTATTGTACTTTTGAAACCGAGAGAGTTGCACGAAACTAAATTTGTACAGGACATAGCTAGTACAATGCGAAACATCGCCTTAAATGTTAAAAATGTTGTCACCGCCGTTCTTGGTGTTGAAAATTTCGAAATATTTGGAATTATTCAAATTTCGTGGCTGAAAACGTACATAGGTATCGTATTTTTGAAACCGAGAGTTGCAGGAAACTTTTG